ACGTTTTTGCAAAGGGGTCGGTTTGACAAAGTTGAAAGAAGGTCAGTGTAGTTTTTGGCGGTGATGCAATTCTTTCTTAGAAATTTCTTTCGTTGAAATATACACGCTCTCAATTTTCTAAGTGCACAGCAAGGTGAGTAACTGTTGGGTACCTTTCGTGTAAAGGGAAGCCAAGGAGACGCCACGCTGCCTCGTTACTGCTGACATAACGGCCTGCTTGAAAGGTCTGTACTTCATTAACGGGATTTGCCTCACCTTCACTCCTGAGATTAAATATTGCCTGGTCGCATCCTTTATCTATGTAGTTACAGATATACTTGATTGCGCGGACAGAGCTACATGCTTCTACATTAATGTGGGCATTAAACATTTTACATAGAATGGGCGAATACGGGACAATCTAGCTGTTATCTAAGGTTTCGAACGCTCCAGAGCGAGATGATGTAACTTTCCTGCCTCTTCAGCTGCGGCACGATTGTACTGTTTTTAATAGCTGTTTAGGGAATTTCTTTGTACACTTTCCTTCTTTCATACATGGCGATATTGAATTTCGTACTCCACATGGACCTTGAATCATATTTCGGACGATGGTATCAAACAATTTACGGATCCGGAAACTCGGCGCTTATTATGTCGTCTATTTGGCTGGGCCGCAACTTCTCTTCTTTACATATTAGAATGTGGGCATGCGGTAATCCTCTTTTTTTGCCATTCAATTGAATACAAGAAGCACTGCACCTCTCCGAAAATTTTCCCTTTGTTAATTACATACATTAATTTTTGTACTTTTAATCTAAATACTCTAGCAACTAAATCGTGTCTGTCAGTGCTTTTTTTGGCCCGGCATTAGCTCCTCGGTTATTTCTTTCCATGTGGGATTGCAAGTAAAAGTAACAAAAAGATCAGGTCTTCCGTAAGTTCGTACATAGGCGAATGCATCTTGTGTGTACTAATGTAGGTAGCAGGGACTGTTAACGAATGATGAGGGCAGAATTACCATTTTACCTAAATCTCTGGGGTTTACATTGGCGTCGCTAGAAACTGCATCTTGTAAATGTATATAATTCTCAACGCACAGCTTTTTTTGATTTAAAGATATATAACGGAGACGTTCACTTTCTACTTTCACATACATGTCTACCAAAAATTGATGAAATAATTGTATACATCGGGCTAAGAGGTTAAAATCATTTTCTCGCAACATCATACGATACTCATAAAATCCATACATGATAGTTTTTCGTTCGTAGTAGGCTCCGTTGTCACCGGGTCAATGAGTGGAATTTGAAAATGATAACCCCTTGTCCTTTGCAATAAATCAATGGGTATTGCAGAGCGTCTTAAAACTTGTGCATATCGGCTACCCCTTGCAACGTATCATCACGTGCTCGCAAGACAATCTCTCGTGAAGAAAATTGATCACCACTAATTACGGCTGCTATTTCGTTTATCAAAGGTGCATTGTAGCGCCTTTCATGCTCCCCTCGAGGGGTCCGATCTGCGTGAAAGACGACTTTATAATCCTCTTCAGGAAGGTTTTCTAAAGCAGTTTTAAATGTTTTGACTAAAATGTTACGTTCATGTAAGAATCTTTGAATTTTGAACACTGTGTCCTGTCCGACGACCTCAATTTCTTCGTAACTCATAAAATATACTTGTAAAAATTTATACTGTTCGTTTTCAGCCGGAAAAAGTGAACCTTTTCTATGATAAATTTGCCCTTGCACCGTAAATGTAGGTGAAAATCCCGGCATTATTATTTTCCGGTCAACTCCGAAGGACGTCATTTAAAAGCATGAGTTATATTTCCGGATCCTGTTTAAAAAGCGCCGTGACTCATTAGCATCATATAAAAAGAGAGTTTTTAAAGGTTCTTCTGGTTCCCCAAGTAACGGAAGAGACACTTTGCCATTGGAACAGTACATGCCTGCGGTCTCATCATTCCATTTTAAAGCGCTGCAAAATCGACACGCCTTGTCCATCAGTCCGATAACAACTAACCTGTGATTTTTATAATCAATCAACGGATCATAATTGAATGCTGCGTCATTAAAAACCGATCAATTGTTTCTTTGAAAATTTTGTCGACGTTCAGCTTGGAGCTGTGCATTTGCATCAATTCGCGCCTGTGTCTGTTCTGGTGTTTCAGATGCCCTTATAGTAGATTGACGTTCAGCTTACTCAATGAGTCTGTGTTGAGTTTTATCAGGTATTTCCGCGGCTCTTAAGGCGGCCTGACGTTCCGCTTGTTAAAATAGCCTTTGCTGACTTTGAGCAGGTGTTTCAGTAGCTCTTAAATTAGCTTGACGCTCTGCCTGTTCAAGACGCCTTTGCTGACTTTGAGCAGGTGTTTCGGTAGCTCTTAAAGTAGATTGACGCTCTGCTTGTTCAAGACGCCTATGCTGACTTTGAGCAGGTGTTTCAGTAGCTCTTAAAGTAGATTGACGCTCTGCCTGTTCAAGACGCCTTTGCTGACTTTGATCAGGTGTTTCAGTAGCTCTTAAAGTAGCTTGACGCTCTGCTTTCAAGACGCCTTTGCTGACTTTGAGCAGGTGTTTCAGTAGCTCTCAAAGTAGCTTGACGCTCTGCCTGTTCAAGACGCTTTTCGCTGACTTTGAGAAGGTGTTTCAGAAGCTCTTAAAGCAGCCTGACGCTCTGTCTGTTCAAGACGCCTTTGCTGACGTTGAGAAGGTGACTCAGATGCTCTAAAAGTAACCTGACGCTCTGCTTGTTCTTGCCTTCTCAGTTCAGCATCTTCTAAAGATTCGAGCGATCGAGCTAATCTTTTCGCTTGTCTTTGAGAAGATACTCTTGAAAGGCTGTACTTACGTTTGCGAGGCATTATGAAGTAACAAAAAACCTATTTAGAAAAAAAACGTTAAAATACCTAAAATGAATTAAATTTCCTTTTAAATATTTTTTTAAAAGCAAATAAAAATATCTAAAAGGAATAAATATATAATTTTAAATATTTTTTAAAATCAAAACAACAAAACCAATTCAAGACACAGCACGAATCCGAAAACGATAGCCAAAAAAAATCGAATCAACTTAAACCAAATCACAAAAAAATCGCAGAAAACCGAAATCGAAAGCAGTAGTCAATATAAATATAACCAACGAAAAAAGAAGTAAGTGTATAGGTACCGTATACACTATCTATACTATTAATATTCCTTGGAAATATTGTTAAACAACCTAAAACAACGAAAACCAATTCACGATTCTAAATAAAAAATAATCCAAAATTAAAGCCAGAGTCTAAATATGTATAAAGGAATACCAACCAAATCAACAAAACCGATCCAAGAAAATACACAAATCCGAAAATGAAAGCCAATATAAATCCATTCAACCTTAACCAAATCACAAAGCAAATAACAAACAACCGAAATCGAAAGCAGGTAGTCGAATAAGCTACGAAATAGAAACAATTTAAGCGTATAGGTACCGTATGCACTATAAGATGACGCGCGGCCCAACGGCGGGAGTTAAGTACATGTCAGGAAACGTTTCGTTACCCCGTTTTAAAAACTTACTAACGACATCTAGCAGAATCAATTTAAACCATGTATACGTTAGTTAATAAGAACCCTCAAAAATATTTTTTTTATAATTTTGCACAATTTTTCTTATTGTAATACCGATTCATTCATAACCACATATAAGAACTGTATTCATTTCCGTTCAATAAATATTACTAAGGCTTACTAAGAACTGTTTCTACCACATTAAGTAAACTTAGGGTGAAAGCGTGACAGGTGGTGATAGTATTTCTGATCCATACTTATAATCAAGCCTGTTACCCTTGCGGGGTAGAGCAAGCAGAGCATCAACGGATTACTTAATATCGTCTGCGAGGTTATCGCCTATTCTGTAAATTACAATGCACCAAAACGTTTGAAGAAAATCAGCTGGTGAATTTTATGTTTTTTATCGCTCTCTTCCCGATCCTGCGTGGAAAAATACAGATCCATACATTTTTTATCTTAATTTTGGTAAAAAGACATAATAATCCAGATATTCTGACCTTCTGTGTTCGTCCATCCTACCGTCATCCGTCTTGTAGAATCACGGTGGCACCACCTAGCTGAATTTAATTTTGCAACATATTCGATTTTCCCACGGGAATGACAAGTTTTTCCGCGGAAAAGTAGTGCAGTAGCCTATGTCACTCTACAGCCACCGAACTATCCCCATACCAAAATTCATGCCATGCCGACGCTCTGTTGCGACGTGAAAGAAGGACAAACTTTTGCAACATATTCTATTTTCCCACGGGAATGAGTACATGTACTTTCCGAACATCTCATTCCAGTAAACGTAAGTTTCAGTTGCTTGAATAAGAAATGTTATACATTATGTGATATGAGTACATTACTCGATACCTTTGCTTCTTTAATTTTTTTTCAGGCCTCCAAGCTATGTCTCCCTATTATATTTTATAACATCTCGACGTCATAATGTAATCAGTGTAATTACAATAGTAATTTTAAAAACAGTATTGAGATACTATATTTATAAAATTCGTATAGGAGTAATGCATGTCAACATAGAAACAGACATATTTTTTATAGTATAGAGTGACAAACGAGCACACATCTGTAAGTGGTTGCTGCGGCCCATAGAGATCTACATCTTTCCTCGATTACAAATCAAAATGCAGATGCGCTGTCACCCGTGAGGACTAAGTTTTAATGACTCGTTTCCAGTTTTCCGTCGCACGCGCAGTCAGAAGTAGACGTATCGTGTGTTGTTCTAGCTAATTATAAAATTTTAAAATTTAATTCTAACGTGATTTATATTTGGAATCCAATGTAGTGGTGCATAAAGTTTAATCTAGCTTGACACTTAATTTCTATTGTAACCACGTAATACAACGTTGTGACGCGACGTGCTGCCAGTACTGCTTCGCATAACCGCGCAACCAGCGATTTTTCTTCCAGCGCACACGCATATTTTTTACATACACAGTGCTAATACTCTTTGACCATCCTAACATGAGCGTGAAGCGGCCACCACCCGGTTCTAGAGCGGGCTCACCTTTTAGTGGTAAATCTACGAGCGGCTCAAACACCGATCTACCTACTAACGATTATCATAAAATGACACATAGAAGACGTAAACAAATAGATGCAGATTTCGTATCGTCTTCTCAGCTGACAGAATTCAAAACTAAAATGATGGAATTCTTCAATAATTTTGGGAACTCACAGAGGAAAGAATTTAAAAGTTTGAATGAAGTGTCTCAAATTAAAGGAGTAAAAGACGACGTCACGATTATAAGGGAACAGCTGGAATCTATAAAAATCAGTACTGTGAAAATCACTCGCGAGCATAGTGAAATGATGAATGATATTTCCGAATTGAAAAACTCATTAAATTATCATTCAGCTGAACAAACCACTCTGACAACACGTATTGATGATGTGGTATCGGAGATCAAAAAGGTTGATCTGTTGCAGCAAAATATATCGGAATTACAAGAAAAATATGAATCTCTGCGAAATGAATATAATTTCATGCAGCAACGTGATCGCGCCATGAATATTGAGATCTCTCAGATCCCCGAAAAAAGAATGAAATTGTCTCTGATTACGTTATTGCAATAGGCAAATACACTGGAATAGTTATATCTGCCGAGGACTTAATTTATGCTCATCGTGTTAAATCAAGTGACAGCGACAATAAATCACCAAAAAATATTGTGGTTCAACTAAAATCAAATGCTCTTGAGATACAGCATCATCTCTGCTGTACGTAAGAAGAAGGGTTTAACTACAATTGACATAGGAATCCCGGGAGAGTCGCGAAATATATATGTTAATGAACACCTCACACCTGCTTATAAAATGCTGCTAAAACAAACCAAAGTTTTCCTAAATATATACGGTTCGTAACTGTAAAATTTATCTAAGGAAAGACGATAATTTTCCTAAAATTAAAAAAATCTTTAGATTTAAATAAAATTAAGTGACTGTGTTACTTTAAGTTACGACTATTGTTATTTATCTTAAACGGTGTACTCGTATTGTTCTATAATAGTGTGGCTGAATGTTTATTAAAATCAAATAATGTTACTATTTATAAATATTATACAAACATTTTTCAAATAATTTATTTTATATATTATATACTTATTATTTTATTTACACTATACACTTTATTCCTTATATTATATTGTTATTTATACTTAATATATACTTTTGTACATATATATGCACCTTTTATCGATCTGTATGGGTAACTCCTAACTTAATATCGGATTCATGCTTACAAAACAACAAAGGAATGGTAATTCCTTTAATATTAGTGATGTTGAAAAGTAATCGATTAGTTTTGTTTTTCGTTCTAACTTCATATGTGGTTACTATTTATATACACATAAACATTTTATATAAATACAAATTACACTTAATATATACATACACATGCAACGATTGCTTGATTAAGAGGATTACCATTAATGCATTATCTAATATTTATCTACAAAACTAAATAAAATTGTTAAGTTCCCATTTCACTACTTTATTTTCAAGTGCCTACCGAAATTTATATTCTTATTGTGAGTTTAAATTACAGCTTATCATTATAAACAGTAAAGTAATTCAATTTAGTTTTTTTATTATTCATTATTCACTTTAATTGTTCTTTGTTTTAATAGCCGTTTATAATAATCTAAAAAAGGGTTTAAGCCTGTACTATCAAAATGTTCGTGGTTTACGGACGAAATGTAATGAGCTATATAACAATATCTTATCTCAAGACTATGATATAATCTTATTGACCGAAACCTGGTTAAAAAGTGATATTTATAATAACGAACTATGTGATCTTAGATATAATGTTTTTCGAAGTGATCGTAATTATTTATTGTCAGGGAAAAAGGTCGGTGGCGGAGTGTCCGCATACGTCGTGAATTGAGTGCATGTCTATGCAGCCAATGGTCCAGTGCACCTACAACGCGTGAGTCGGTGTGCGTGACTTTACCTGCACGTACGCTTGGGTCCTCAGTCGATCTACATATAGCTATAGCGTACATTCCACCTGACTCGAACGTAATACAGAGTGGATTCAATGATATTAAGCAAAACTTATCACATTACATTGAAAATTATCCCATGGATACTTTTTTACTGGTGGGAGATTTTAACTTACCGTCTTTGAGATGGAACTCCAACAATTGTATTGCACACGTAGACGGTTCATCTTTTATGGATAATTTAGCGATATCTTTCGTTGATGATTTAGGGTACATCAGTCTTAAGCAATAAAATTATAATTGTAACTCAAAAGGTAATATTCTGTATCCATGTTTTTGCAATTTGCCATTAGTTGTTTCAACTTCTTTACCACTCATAAAGGAAGATATATATCACCCTGCATTAAATATTGAAATACCTGATTTTAGCATACAACCCTTTAAAAAACGTAAACATCCGCGTTTTAACTTTTTTAAATGTGACTATGAGAATATGAATAATTATTATTTAGAAATATTGATTGGCGCTGCAGCATTAAATGCCGCCGACAATTAATGAAGCCGTAGATATTTTTTACAGTAAATTACATGAATGTTTCTCCATTTACGTACCCATTAACATGTATTCTAACAACCGACATTATTATCCTGTATGGTATTCTTCTTCACTAATAAAAATCATTCGCGAAAAATGGCGCGCTCATTGTAATTGGAAAAAATACCGTAACCCAAGAGATTATGATGAATTTTCGCTTTTAAGAGCACGACAACACCGTATTCAACTTAATTCTTTTAACTTTTTTACAAACAATGCTGAACAATATATTAAGTCCAATCCTAAACACTTTTGGAAATATGTCAGTTCGAAAAAAGGCTGTTCCAGTTACCCAAGAAAATTTACACTACGAGGTCAGAATATGACGAGGGTGCAAGTATATACTCAGCTTTTAATAAATTTTTTCAAAGTGTTTTTATTACACCATCATCAAGTAGCCAAACTCAGCCTCGTCACACATCTGAGTACTCCAGTACGGAGTCATTATCCCGCATACATATTACTAGAGAAACAGTTCTTACAATTACTAAAGACTTGTAAATCTAGGGACCTGGAACCGATAGTATTCCCCCTATTGTATTGATTTCAAGTGCTGATACCTTGTCATTGCCTAGTTAGTTAGTTAGTTTGCGACGGGCTGTTTTCCGCAACTCCACGTCTATGCGCGTATTTTGCGTGTGGGCAGGAATAATGTGATTATTCGAGCCATGAGATCTTCCCGAAGAAGCTCAATGCTCTTGATGTTGCATGCAACTTCAAGGGAGATGTTTAGCTCTGTACGTAGCGACCTCCGAACATTTCAGTAGCACTTGGGCCACCGTTTCTTCCTCCCCCATACATGCCCTGCACAGGGGACTATCTATAACACCTATAGTAAATAAATGTTTGTTAAAGGTGCCGTGTCCTGTGATAGCGCTTGTTACTATCCTGATCTGCGGCTTGTTCAGTCTCATTAAAACTTTGGTTAAGCGATTGTTTATTACAGGTAGGGCCTCCCTAGCTTGTCTACAGTCTACTAGATTTTTCCAAAGCTGAGCGTGTTGATTAGTGAAGTGTCTACGTACCAGTGAACGAACGTTACCAAAGGGGATTGGTATGATTGGTTCCGGCCCTATAGTGGCCAGAGCCGATCCTCTTCTGGCCAGTTCGTCCGCTGCATCGTTGCCTCTGGATCCACTGTGTCCCTTTATCCATTGCAGAGTCACATTGTTGTTTTTACATACCTCATTTAATCGTTGATGGCATTCATATATTAGTCCCGAGTTCACCCCATTGCAACTCAGAGCTTGTAGTACCGCCCTACTGTCGGTCAGTATTCTGATGGGGAAATCATTAACCTTCCTAGCATCTATTGCTATGGCCGCTTGAATGATACCCATACATTCAGCCTGAAAGACCGTGTTATAGGTACCCAGCGGTGTGCATATGTGAATATTGAGGTCTTCAGAGAAAGCTCCAGAACCTACACCTTCATTTGTTTTAGAACCATCGGTGAAAACTCTAAGCTCTTTTGGGCTTAATCCTTCCGGCTGGCTGTTTTCATTTAATTGTATCTTGTATTTATTATCGAAAACAAATTGTTTAGGAATCCTATCGTATTTGGCTTGTAGGATTTCTGAGTGAATTCTATCAATTATGCCTGTATGAGGGACACTATTCTTACTCCAAAGATTTAAGGTTTTGAGGTTTTGGCAGCTAAAGTCGCTTCTTGTTGTATATGTAGATGAAGCGGAGTTAGCTCCAGCATCGCTTCCAAGGCTGCTGTTGGCGTAGTTCTTATGCAGCCTGTGGCAGCCATACATGCCAGTCTCTGGTAGCGCTGAAGCTTCTTAATTGTGGTGGCTTCATTTGTCTTGGTCCACCATACCAGAGCGCCGTATGTGATCATAGGCCGAATTACAGTTTTGTAAAGCCACAGTATGATTTTTGGCGTCAGTCCCCATCTTTTGCCAATCATGTTTCTGCATTGACAGAAAGTTATACTAGCTTTGTTGATTTTGTTTTCTATGTGTTTATTCCAGTTAAGTTTGCTGTCCAAGGTAAGACCTAAATATTTTACCTCAGAGGATAGCTGGAGTTTTGTGCTGAAAAGACTTGGAAGATGATAGTTATTCAGCATTCGTTTTTGTGTGAACATTACTAAAACCGTTTTATTTGGATTGACGGTTAAGTCGTATTCCCTGCACCATCTCTCCACTATACGGAGAGCCGCTTGGGTTGTCATTGCCTATTACAATTTTGTTTTGTCGTTCTCTCAATGAATGTATTTTCCCCGATTTATGGAAAAAAGCAAAATAATTCCCATACATAAAAAAGGACCAAAAACCTCAATTGAAAATTACCGTCCGATTTCAATTTTGAACTCTATCAGTAAGCTTTTTTGAAAAAATTGTTTACAGCTTCATCTACCCCATGATAAGCCGTGGTATTCCTGATACACAGCATGGCTTCATAAAAGGACGGTCTACAGTATCAAATTTGTCTCTGTTCTCAAGTTATGTCCTCCTGCATATGTAGAATGGTGGTCAGGTGGACGTGGTCTACACTGATTTTGAAAAATCTTTCGATCGTGTAGACCACGACCTCTTGCTCCACAAGCTCTATTTGCTTGGAATTCAAGGAGACCTACTCCGCTGGGTGTCCTCCTACCTTTCCAATCGCTCTCAAGCTGTAGTGCTGGGCGGGTACAGATCCGACTATATAATTGTTCCCTGGGGTGTCCCTCAGGGATCGCACCTTGGCCCGCTATTCTACAATGCATACATCTTTGACATTGCCAACTGTTTTTCTTATTCTAATCACCTATTATATGCAGATGATAAAAAATATATCGGGCAGTTAATTCTGTTGAAGATTGTAGATTGTTACAATACGATTTGGATAAACTGTTTTCTTATTATCAAGAAAACAGGATCTTCGTCAATATTAAAAAAATGTCAGAGTACAAGCTTTACGCGCAAGAAAAGTCTAATTGTCTTTTCTTATAACTTTAATAATCAAGTATTAACGCGAGTCAATGATGTACGTGATCTCGGCATTTGTTTTGACTCCAAGATGCTCCTCAATATGCATTA